ACCCTCATATTTTATTTTTCGTTGAAAACTGGTGTAAGGGGTTGTGATGGGCGGGGAAGCCAGCTGTGGCAAGGATTTTTTTCTTCGAGCAACGGTTTCCGAGATATAGCCTCTGGCAATTCCAGCAGGTCGCGCTGCAGCCCTATGTTTGGCGGCCTATAACTCAGAAACTATTGGTTTTCTACGATAAAAACTTGATATGGTTCAACTCACAATCAGCCAACAAACATTTTGGCCATCTCGGATTTTCAATTTTTGAAAATTTTGATCACGTGACCTTTCGACCTATTTTTCGAAGAGTGACCTTGATATTTTCCCCACTGAAAGTTGCAATTTTGTCTGATGACGATTAAAGCCTTATCAATTGTCATTCATATGCGAAAATAAAAAGTGGATATCGCCCTGCGTTGACCTCAGGTCAGGTCACTTTTATGACCTGTCCATTATTACGAGCGGGAGCGACAGCGAGATCTCGAGAATAAAGCAAGATAGCGACAAGCGGTAAACGGTGCAGGGTACAAATGGATAAGGTCTATAATTTTTACTGAGGTCATTTTCAGGTCAGGTCAAAGATGACGTCACAGGAGCAAAAAGGAAGTCAAAATTGCGGCACTACATATATATGTTACAGGCAAAGTGAAAACTCGGGCATTTTGCAAAATGCCTGACCGGCCAGGCATTTTGCAAAATGCCCAGGCAGTTTGCAAACTGCCTGACCCACCAGGCATTTTGCAAACTGCCTGAAATATTTTTCCAGGCATTTTGCAAAATGCCTGACATCAAACTCGCACTAGCGACGATGTATAAGTAAGCTTTCATTTGTAACTGCCACTTAAAAAAGTTAATCGCTGTCAATGCGCACCAAGTGAGGGGACACTGCGTTCTCCGGGTAGCGCCGCCGAGTTCAGGTCACTGAGCCCCAGCGTCCGTCGGGTGCCGAGCACCGGACGTGGTTTCGTGGGTAAACATGCGCTCGGTACAATGATTGTACTGTTTCTAGAAGCTCTTGGTGTTTTTTTTTTTAAATACTATGGGTGGATATTGATCAGAAAAGAATACTCTTCCAATTTACGAAAATTTGATTGTTACACGTTTAGGTACATTATCAATCGTCTCTGCCTGAACAGTTGCCCACCGGGGCAATACTGGACATCGAAGCTTTTATACACACGGATACAACTCCGTATATACGAAAGGTACGGAGGCGGTGGTTCAAGTCCATTCAGCGTTGGCTCCATCTCGACAGAATTGACGCAAGACGTAGGAATACAGAGTGTCACGAACTTGATACGCGGTTGGCGCGGTCTTGTCCCTCCATGCCCCTCCTGAGTGCTGAATGGATGTAATTTGAACGGGTCCGGCACCAGGGCATCTAGACCAGGGCACTCGGCATCTAAATCGGCCATCCCCCGGTATCTGAAGATTTTACCCTGAAGCTGAAGCCGCTCAACCTCAGGCTGCAACCCTGACTTACCGTCATCCATAAGTGATGCAGCTGGATTTCGACAAAACCCACCAAATCTGAACCATTCAGGACTAAAGATTCAGACTTTTCAATGACGAGGCCGTGAGGCGATATTAGCCGTTTTCACGACGGCCATCTGGTACACATTTGGTTCACATTTGGTGCAGATTAGGTGCATATTTGGTCAAGCTGGTTCAGTGTGTCTCTTAGTAGCCATCAGCTAGAGTTGTACTCATTGCTTATATGCCTCCTTTGTCATATTATCAGAGAGTGCATCATCGGTTAAAACACTGAAATAAATTCATAAAATAAAGATATTTGCTGTAAAAGAGATTATGTGCAGATCTGGTCAAATTAGGTGCACTCGCCGGATAGCCCGTCGTGAAAACGGCTATTAGAGCTCTGCTTAGTCACCAACCGTCCCGACAAGCAGTTCTTGGCCAACAGCAGCTCAGAGGCGCTGCACCGTCGAGACGGTGAAGCACCCACTGGGCACCATGGGGATTCTCGTTTGGGGCATGATGGGCTACAGAGGCCTATTTGAGCTTCACCTGGTGCCGCGGGGACAGACCATGTGGCCGCTGATAACTTGTCAGCGAGGTGCTGGAGAACACTGACGCAACTACGATGCAATACATTTCGGGACACAAGTACAACATCCCGCAACAATTTCGTGACACCCTGTATTCGTGACCGTGGAATGTGTCACATGTGCCCACAACACATGTGAAATGTGTTGTGGGGTCAGTCACAGTGGAACGTTTATGATCAACGCCTGTAGTCAACAAAAAAGGTGGAATAATGGAAACCCAGGCATTTTGCAAAATGCCTGGCGGGTCAGGCATTTTGTAAAATGCCTAGGCAGTTTGCAAAATGCCTGGTGAGTGGTGGGTCAGGCAGTTTGCAAACTGCCTGGGCATTTTGCAAAATGCCTGGCGTGTCAGGCATTTTGCAAATTGCCTAGGCATTTTGCAAAATGCCTGAGTTTTCACTTTGCCTGTAACATATATATATATATATATATATATATATATATATATATATATATATATAAATATATATATATATATATATATATATATATATATATATATATATATATATAAAGTTTTTCTCGAATAACTTTCAAGGTATCCCAGCTAGGAACAAAGTAATAACACCATCGTGATCCTCTCGCCGATCCGCATCGAAATGTATGTATGTTGACCTCGAAAGGTCGAAAGGTCAAAAGTTGACCTTAGGTCACGTGACGAGAGGGAGTGACAGCGAGATCTCGAGAATAAAGCAAGATAGCGACAAGCGGTAAACGGTGCAGGGTACACACGGATAAGGTCTATAATTTTTATTCAGGTCATTTTCAGGTCAGGTCAAAGATGACGTCACAGGAGCGAAAAGGAAGTCAAAATTGCGGCACTACATATATGAAGTTTTTCTCGAATAACTTTCAAGGTATCCCAGCTGGGAACAAACTAATAGCACCATCGTGATCCTCTCGTCGATCCGCATCGAAACATATGTATGTTGACCTCGAAAGGTCAAAAGGTCAAAAGTTGACCTTAGCTCACGTGACCTTAGGTCAACTTTTGACCTTTCGACCTTTCGAGGTCAACATACATATGTTTCGATGCGGATCGACGAGAGGATCACGATGGTGATATTAGTTTGTTCCTAGCTGGGATACCTTGAAAGTTATTCGAGAAAAACTTCATATATATGTAGTGCCGCAATTTTGACTTCCTTTTTGCTCCTGTGACGTCATCTTTGAGCTGACCTGAAAATGACCTCAGTAAAAATTATAGACCTTATCCATTTGTACCCTGCACCGTTTACCGCTTGTCGCTATCTTGCTTTATTCTCGAGATCTCGCTGTCGCTCCCGCTCGTAATAATGGATAGGTCATAAAAATGACCTGACCTGAGGTCAACGCAGGGCGATATCCACTTTTTTTATTTTCGCATATGCATGACAATTGATAAGGCTTTAATCGTCATCAGACAAAATTGCAACTTTCAGTGGGAAAATATCAAGGTCACTCTTCGAAAAATAGGTCAAAAGGTCACGTGATCAAAATTTTCAAAAATTGAAAATCCGAGATGGCCAAAATGTTTGTTGGTTGATTGTGAGTTGAACCATATGAAGTTTTTATCGTAGAAAACCAATAGTTTTTTAGTTATGGGCCGCCAAACATAGGGCTGCAGCGCGACATCCAGGAATTGCCCGAGGCTATATCTCGGAAACCGTTGTTCGAAGAAAAAAATCCTTGCCACAGCTGGCTTCCCCGCCCATCACAACCCATTAGACCAATTTTAAGCAAAAAATAAAATATGAGGGTGCAGGGCACTTGTCGATTTGTCGTGGAACGCCCCAGGAGTGGGTAGTAGGTACACGGTTCGTCGGAAGAAAGAAACGATATATATCATTCGAAAGCTGACGGTGAGCTGAATCCAAAAATGTTATTTTTATCAAAATCGATCGATGGCCTTTTTTGAAAATTGCGTTTTTGTGAAAACTTTATAATTTCTTATTCAACGGGCTGTCCCAGACATTCTTGAAAACATAAACACGTATTTTTGAGTTCCAGTGAAAGCTGAACGCCAAAGAACAATATTTAGCGAAGCAATATTTCCAAACATATGCGTCTCCCACAGCCGACAATAAGGCGCAATCACACAGCTCAGTGTCACGATGGACCAAAGTCGGCCACACAGAAGCGTGAAATGACACTTATCGACTCGCAGACCCGACGCTTTCGGCCCGCCTGACCGGCCACGGCAAGGAGGTTCGGCTGTCGTTCTACTAAACGGGCGTCATATTTGTTACTTGTTAGTTTAACGATTCAAGTCGGTACTTGAGTTTTTCAGGATACATGAGCAGAAGATTCATTGCTCTGTCATCTTCACATCATGCATTTACCTATTTGCATTTGTTCATGTCTACTTTGCTCAATAAAGCTTGATATCATGCTCATATAAGAAAAATTGGCCGCGCTGAAATGTCAGAGGTTGCACCCAGTTGCACCGGCCTCAGCTCGGGTGGAGTGGGGATAGCGCCCGGTGGGGTAGGGAAACCTTTGACCGGTCGCACGGCCGAGCAGCTGTCACCAGTACAGCCTCTGACAGTGAAACTCCGCTCACTATAACCCTGCTAGCGGGGTAATTTGGCCGCTTTGCTGACCTTTTTAAAATGTCAAAATTTAAGTACCTATAGGTAAGTAGTTACTCTAATGTTTTTTTTGTTTATTGTACGGACAAGTAAAATGAATGCGACACCTGCCAGCGTTGATAGAGTGCAGAAATGTGTCGATTCCGATATACAACGCTTTCTACAAAAAGTGGCCAAATTAACCCCATTCTACCGTAATTAATGTATTGCGGCACAGCGTGCGTCAGGCGCCAGCCATGAGTCATTTACGTTATGACATGAGCAGCCAGGGACTCAGGAGATGCACTAATTACTATATGCATTGCAACGCTACGTGTAGATAACAAGTGTAAAACAAGCGCAAAATTGCCCGTGTAATATGTGAAGGCATAAAATGACCTGGTAAAGGTAAGCATGCTGTTTTCCAGAATTAACTTCTCGGCCGGAGGGAGTTGATGCACCCCCCCCCCCCAGATTTTTTTTAGAATAGTGTAAAAATGGCGCCGCTAAATTTGACATCATCTGGGGCAACCTGTTGACACCGTTCCCGCAAATTTCAGGTCAGGTCACCAGGTCTGAGGAAACGAGAACCGGTACAAGGTTAGGGTAAAATTTGACCATTTAGCGGCAACGGAAGGAGAGAGAGGGTTTTTCGTTTATAGCGGAGTGCCGTGGCACGTAGCGCCACCAAATTTCAGACAACTTCGAGGTCATAAGAGGTCAAATTTTGTGGATTACCGACTGGTCGCTGAGGTCATATCCGACGCCGTATCTCGTGATCTGAGAGAGCTAGGAGGTCGCAGAAAAAAAGATAGATCATTGAAGGATTCTCTGAAGTATAGCTAACGATACGAACTGAGGTCAGCTGTTTGGCCTACAACGGTAAAGCATAGTGAAAATAGCCGGTTTTCCTAATAACATCTTTATCTTATAACTAACTGCGTTGACTGTTGAGGATTTGAAACATTGCCACAAGTTTACCATCACCGCATGCCTATAAATAAAACGCGTCGCAATATTTACAATTGACATGTTATTGAACAGTACGGCTGGCGCGGCTGGCTGGGTCTGTTGTGTGACGGTGCGGCGTGTTGCAGGGTCCGGATCTGGCCGGGGCCGCAGGCGGCGCCGCCGGCCGCCAGCCGCGGCTGCACGGTCAGCGTGCCCGGCGTCAGTGTGCTGCTCGACCGGCGCGCCCACGGTCTGCGGCGCGCGCTCTGGGCGCTCGTGCTGGCCGCCGCGCTGGTCATCTTCGTGCTGGAGCTGCTGCTGAGCGTGCAGCGGCTGCTTGAGGCCGACGTCACCCGCAGCTGGTCGCACTCGTCGGCCGACCAGCTCGAGTTTCCCGCCGTGACCGTGTGCGCCTTGGGAGGTCTGAAGCCGAGCGCCGTGGCGCGTTGGACGCGCGACAACACCACGCAGGCCGACTGGTTCTTCCACGGGCTGGAGCTGCTCCGCTGGCAGAGCATCGACCTGGAGCGGTTCCTGGACGAGGCCTCCTACACCTGGGAGGAGCAGGTGGTGCGGTGCACGCTGGCCGGCCAGCCGTGCGCCGCCGCCGGCCGCGTCTCGCACCCGTTCTCGCAGATGCTGGGCCAGTGTCACACGCTGACGGCCGGCGGGCCGGTGCCGCGCGCACACATGCTGCCCCAGCTGCGACTGCAGCTGGCCGAGACGGACCGGGCGGCCGTCGCGGCCGGCCACCCGGGCTGGCTGGTGGCGCTCCACCCGGCGCACGTGCGCTGGTCGGACACGGCCGCCGTGCTCGGGGTCGCCTCCGTACTGGTCGTGCCGCCGCAGGTCATCAGCCAATTCACCGTCAAACGCACGCGGCTGAGGCGCCTGAGCAGCGAGCAGGCGCCGTGCGACGCGCACACCTCGGCGGCCGACGTGCTCGACTGCCACGACGCGTGCCAGTGGTCGGAGGCCGGCGGCGACGCGTGCCGGCTCCGCTGGCTGGCGCACCAGCCGGCCGACACGGCGGCCTGCACCTCGTACGAGCAGTTCCTGGCGGCCACCAGCCACCGGCGCCTGTTCCTGAACATCAGCGGCTCGTCGGAGACGGCGATGCTGCACGCCGTGGCCGAGTGCTCGCGGTGCCGGCCGAGCTGCGCGGCCGACATGTACGTCGTGCAGAGCCGAGACCGGCTGCAGCTGTCCGCCGCCGGCACGGTCAGCGGCCAGGGCGTCAACGCCGAGGTGCTCATCCAGCTGCTGGCCGAGCTGGAGGACGTCGTGGAGAAGTACGACTACACGTTCAACACGCTGATCTCGGACATCGGCGGCATCGCGGGCCTGCTGCTGGGCGCCTCTGTGCTGACGCTGGTGGAGCTGCTCGACGGACTGGCGTCGGCTCGGTGCCGCTGCCGCCGCGACTGACGCGGCCGTGCTAAAACCGACCGACGCCTCGGCACCTCATCCCCAGCTGCTTCTTGCTGGTGCCAGTAGCAACGTCCTGAGCCACCTGGATCACTGGAGAAGTACCACTCTACTGATGCCCGTCCAAATCCGACATTTTGCCACACTGAACGGCGAGAAGACGATGGCGTGATTGGGCATGCTCTGCAGCACGTTTTTTCCAGTGGCTAGTGCACTGGTTCGAGATCTGATTGGCGGCGAGTGGTTCCTACCTAAATATTATGTGCTTATAACGTTCATGAGATCGGCTGTACGTGGAGAACTTTACCATTTGTAAACACTGCCGTTCTAACGAGCGCCGTTCGTTAGAACGGCGCTCGGCACATAGTGAAAGTGATCATACGCATCCCACATTCTGCCTAAACATACCTTTCGGGGAGCACTCCGTGACTTTCTAAGCTATAGGACAAAAATGTTTGTCTCTATAAAATGGGCTTTATTTTGAAATAACCTATATAACGTTGCTAATATTATGATTTATATATTTTATTTTTATACGGTATTTATTTATTTTGATAGTTTTAGTGACTATTTTGGGTGACATTAGCCTGGTAGGTATGTACCTAGCTAAAGACAATAACCCGATGAACATGCCGCCGTCGGCCCGACACCCAGTCGGCGCAGCGTTGGCGTCGACTAGGAGTTGGCCGCTGTCAGACTCAGTCCGACCCTCGGCTGGAGAGGGTGTATGTCCGCTTAGTAGGCTCCAGATCAACGCGTCCGGCAGCGGCTGCCATTTTTAGCTTCAAACAAATAAATGAAGTAACGCTTTTCGTCGACATAAGAAATGTAAAATCCGAGTAAAAAAAAACGAATTCAGAACCGTTTTTAAATATACCTACTGTTAACTTTGTATATACATCCTTTATGTCATATAAAAGGTCAACTTCATTTGTTTGTTTAGTTTTGTTCAATAGGTATGTTCCCCACTAGTGCACTCAATTATGTTACGAATAGTTAAAGGGACCCTCCCACCTTCAAAAATGTTAATGAATTGGCATGAAAGTGATGTCGCTCGGTTCAGAAAGAGCAAAAACGAATATCTACCAAATTTCATCGAAAAATATTCACCGGTTTTCAAGATATTAGACTTTTACTTTTGTTTACTTGTTGGGATCTCCGCTGTTCCTATAGCGACTTTATTTGAAAGTGCGGCATTTGTTGCGCGCAAAGCAGCATATACCACCGCGTGCTACAAAACGTTTTAGTCAAACATTTAAAAATCGTTAGATATCTGCGCTGACGTCACACATTCAGAGGGGTATACCTATGCATTAGCCCCTCTGAATCAAAATGCTGCAATTTTGAAATTCAATATTTCCGATTTAAGGCATTTCTCGGTGTTGTGAGTGCCGAAACCGGTAATTGTGAGCCAGGGACCCCATTTTGGCTATCTCAACTCAAATATAATGTTAAGGTGGGAGGGTCCCTTTAAACAATGTTGCACTCGGTCGTTTGCAGGCTACGTAGGTACCTATAATTAACACACTAGCTATTGAAGACTGAGAAATATAACACTTTCATCAAATTAGTTTTTTACTGCCTACAGTTTTATGTGTTTGCTTAAAACGATCAGAAAAGAAAATAACTGATATTTATAAAAGGCATTTAAAAAAAATCATATGGGAAGAACTACCTATATTCCATCTTTGGTAGAGGTCACACAGGTCATCCGAGGTCATTTATGTCGACTTATCTTAGGTCAAGTGTATCGGATAACCGTGAGGTTAGGTCATGAGTCATGACCTCATGTGACCTGAAATGACATAGGTACCTACAGGTCATTGTCTACCGCAAGCATAGCTCACCTTTGGAACTGGAGCAAAACGTCCCCGTAAGTTTGAGTGATAGTGTATGTATGTATTAGGGTTACGCTCGGTAATTGTTTATGTTTGTGAGCGATCTGCCCGGTTGCCGTGTGCCGCGGACCGGACTGAGACGGCGCACGGTGGGTACTGACTACTGACGGGACGAGTCCGGTCGTCTGTGCAGCTCGGGACGGACGGACGGATGACGAGCCAGCCGAGAACACAGCGCTGGGAGCGCTACCGCACGCTTTGCGTTTCCGACCGATTTGATCGCCTGTACGGACAGATCAGTGTTATGAACGCACTCGTTTGACCTATGTGTTTGTTTGTATGTAGGTAGGCATCTGTATGCTGTGTGTTTTCTGATATGTTCATATTAGCTTGTATGTCCGATCATTAATTGGGGAGCTTTTACTAAGAATGTAAATTTTGAAAATGAAATTTTCGGTGTAGAGGTTACAAAATGATAGAAAAGCAGCTATACGGGAAACCAGACCTCTACCTCTAAAGATGTTTAATGCAGCGCAGAAGAACTACCGTGGATGGTGCCCCCCCCCCCCATGGATCCACCAGCGTCTGCATTGGACATTGCACTCGCAATACATAGGTACACCTCAACCCCGTGCAACACCGTACAGCCAGACTGAGACGCATGGTGCGGCACGGCCGCCTGCAGCGCCGGGCTCTGCTGCGCCTAGAGGTGAATTGGCACTTTGAACACCTCCGTAGACAAACCAAGTGTCACAATTGACTTCCGTTTGTGTCATGGGCCGCCATCGAATGCACCGATCAATTGTATGCTAAAACAACCAACTTAGGAAGCGTATAGTAAAAATCGACTTTTTGAGTAATGGCATTTTGAAAGCGACCTGACCTGAGCCATAGTGCGATGGGGGGGGGAGGGGGCTTTTTGGCCACACCAGATTATCTCGGAAAGAAGCAAGCTAGAAAGACGCGGTAAAAAGCATCACTATCAGATAGCTCGCTACAGTAGGTATCTTTCAGAATTACCTATGTCATTTTTGATCAGGTCATCGCTGAGGTCTTTGGAGGTCACCAAAGGTAAATTTTTTTTATGAACTTTTGTTCCCAATTTCGACAACTTTTCACAAATCGGCGCATAAGTCAGGAACCAATAAAGCTGCAGTGCTGCGGGAAAGCGCATTCGATAGCTCTCTTTCAAAGGTCTTTCTGAGTACCTAATGCTCTCTCCTCTCAGATTTGACCTAAGGTCAACGGTTTAGCTTCCAGGTTGGCGTTTTTGCGGAAAAGGTTTCTGTTTCATAACTTTTGACTCGAAACTTGTATGACGTTGATTTTACCGGCAGGTATTTGGTCTTCGCGCGGCCCTCCACGTAGTCCCCAGTATAACTGCAGACTCGTGGTTACGCGCCTGTAATCACAGATTGTATTTATATCGTCTAAGATACGTATTTCCTAAGGGTCACTTGACTAGGCGAGAAAAATAGCGATATCTTTGGACTGGAGCATGGATCATCAAGGCAATCTTGATCAAGGCCATGTAAAGAATGGATAAGTGAGCATCATGGAATTGAAAACTAGCTGCTCTACCATGGCGACATAGCTGTGATTTTTAAATGTTTATTTTCATTTATCTGCTAGATTATTTTATGCATTGTTTTTTTTATTAAAATATATTTCATAATGACTCTTGGTAGTATTTTCACTTAATCTTTCTATGTAAAGAGTGGTTTCGAAATTATATTTTCAGAGTTCCTGATACCTAATAGTAACCAATCACGACACAGGATGTTTGGCGTCGAGTTTCAAAAACAGCCAATCGCGACGCACGCTGGTTTTAAAAGTCTGCGCGGCGGCGAGAGCGGTGATCGTCGTTGATACTTGCGAGTTTTTTCGAAATTTATTGAGGTTAGACTGGATTTCCCTGATAATGGGGGTTTGATGTGATATATCTACACGAGAAGGTAAGACTTCAATTCGTTTGATGATATGCAGAGTGCTTTTTCACTTTTCCACTTATTTTTACAGATTCGTAGCACAACAACAAGCATGCTCTAGTCTGTAGGTAGCCATCATACCAATGCCAATCACAATGCTATTATTCTAGCTTCAATTTAAATTCAAATTAGACCTTGCATGGTCCCTTTTGCTTTCCTGGAGTATGAGTACTATTATAATGTTCTTCCACTTTTTTGCTTGCACCTGCTTCAGCTTGTGCTGGGGAGGTACACTTTAAATAACTTAGGTAGGTACCTTATGTATTGAGATCAGTCGGGGGAGGTTTTGACAATCGTTGTCATTTTTAACACATGCCATTTTTGGCAACCAACGCTATTGCAGCTATTCTTGGCAACGATGAAGCTGATGTCACTCCTCAGCGAGGAAATCACGATTTTGGAAATACAAGCACTGATTTTGGAAAAGAAGTACTGCCACCTGGTACAAGAAGAATAAACCAGCTTTTATCTGGCCGTTGTTTGTATGGTAGTCCAACGTTGACGTATACCCTTTTTTGGCCTGAAGTTGGAACTTCAATTTGCAGCATCAGAAAATGATCAATATTGATTGAAAACATAATTTTGATGAAAAAATATGTCAAGTTGAAAGAGGAGGTCATTTCATCCAGATGCGGTTGTTTACTTCTTGTAATTATTTTTGTTAATAATGACCGCCATGTAATGACGGATATGCGTGGCCGTCAATTAGCAAAAATAATTTCAAGAAGTAAACCACTGCATCTGGATAAAAAAATGACCTCTCTCAACTTAACGTATTTTTTTCATCAACATCATGTTTTCAATTAATATTGATTATCAATCATTTTCTAATGCTTCAATTTTAAGTTCCAACTTCAGGCCACAAAACAAACTACCATACAAACAACAGGCATATGTAAGCTGGCTTCTTCTTGCACCAGGTGGCAGCAGTTCTTTTCGAAAATCAGCGCTTGTCTTTCCAAAATCGTGATTTCCTCGCTGAGGAGTGAAATCAGCTTCATTGTTGTCAAAAATAGCAGAATCGTTGCCATTTTTAGCACATGTGACAAAATTAGCATGTGCTAAAAATGATAACGATTGACCAAACCTCCCCTGACTGAGATGGGTAGGTATAGCATAATTGGGTGAATGCATTTTGCTACCATGACTTAATCGACACCTCTTAGAAATAGGAAAAATACAGACAAAAAATGCATACAATTTTTTCTGTGCATTTATGCTATTGTAAAATTCTGGTGCAGACGATTGTATTGTTTCTGTTTCCAAAAAAAGGTGTTGCTACTTGATAATGTCAATGTGACAAAATGCGTCCACCTGATTGTGCTGTGTTAGGTACCCTTCTCAATGGCGATGGGGATGTACAGCCCTCAGCAGACTGCGTGGTAGGTATTCTTTATTCGACAAAACCGATAATAACTCAAAGGCTATGCTATCAGTCGGTCAGAACTCACTGCAAATAGATGCGCCATGCTCCACTCCTTCGATTAGGTCTATCACTTAACAAGGTAAACGCCTTGTGTGGCAACAAAATGCAAAAGTTTGTTTTGGGGGCAAATATAAACTTTTGGGTTTTGTTGCCGAACTAGATGGAAAATGAATACTGCGATGATGTCAATTTAAGGTGCGGAGTCTCGCGCGTTTTGCTGTCACGATTTCCGAATGACCAATAGCATAGTATTCGCGTTATGCTCGTTTTTGTCGAAAAAAGAATACCTACCACGCAGTTTGCAGAGGGCTGTACATACTTGTCTAGGTAGTCTTAACCCTAGCCCTGGCAGCAACCCCCAAAGGTTTCGCCAAATTTGGCACAGCCTATGGGGCAACCTTTTTACATATGACCTGAAATTTTCAGGTCCGGGTGACCTTGGGTCAGGTCACCAGGTCAGAAAAACTGGTACAAGGTCATGGTCAAATTTCAATTTTCTTTTTTCACCTGTCCAGCTCAAGTTTTGGACTGACTTCCTTCAAACTTTCAGGATGTGCAAAGTTCACCGAGTTGTATAACATACAGTCAGGGTTTTTGATGTCACTGACCTGAGGTCAGTTAGAGGTCATTACGTCATGATGTTAACCTTCGCCGGACCTATTGGTTTTCTACATACGCGCCGGCCGAGGGGGGGGGGGGGGCGGGTACGACCCCCCTCGCCGTTTCGCCCCTGGTGGAGATCGGTACCCGATTTTAAGGTCCTAGGTCAACCAGTGACCTCTGAGGTCAGGTCAAGTGCCCCAAGGTACAGTTCAGTTTTTGGTGAATAACTTCGCAAAAAACGGCCACAGAGCTGCGATTTTGGCAGCATCGTGCTCGCCTCGCTCAGGCGCGTCGGATGATATACATTTTGTTTGGGTCAGGTCAACTTAGGGTGTTGACCTCAAGTCAAGGTCAGGTCAGCGCCCCCAGATCACGAAGTTGGTCGAAAGAGGTCATGTCGCATATCATTCGATTCGGCAGGTCTTCCTGAGTCCATTGGTGGCTTTCCTGACTCGCTAGCTCAATTTGATGAGGGCCCTGTTTCACCGGTGATAGCAGCACGCTGCTTTTGCACGTGTCAAATTGGGTTTCCATGGAAACATCAACAGGCCCATTGCTCCAACACTACCGCAAGTGTGACGTCAGCTCGCGCAATTTGATAGCGGCGTGGTAGCACCGTCCCGTGAAACACCGCCCAGGAGTTATTGACGAAAAACTAATATGACCTTGATGACGTCATAAATGACGTCACGCAAGGTCAACATTGCAAAAGTGACGCATCTAACCTTGCAAGGAGTGCATCAAATCACGATTATGTGTGCTTGAGATAGTTGGAGCTCGTTCCCGGCGCCAGAATAGCAATTTTCATTTTTCCCCATTGACAATTATTACGAGCGAGCGAGCGCAGCGAGCGAAGCGAGTCTTTTCAATATAACGGAGAAATTTCAGTATGAGCGGCCCGGCCCGGCCCGGCCTGTAACGCTTTTGAGAGGCTTATATCTCAGCAACCGCTGGACCGATTGGCCTGCGGTCTTTTTTGCTGGGTAGCCCCATCCCTTCTACCCCGTAATTGACTACTTTTGATACATCTCAGTGACCGTCGTGGCACGTGCCACGTGATAAGTCAAGGGTGTTCAAGCAGTTTTGCAAAAGTAATGATTTTGAGAGGTCCATATCTCAGCAGCGGCTTGAGCGATTGTCTTGCGGTCATTTTTATAGGGTAGCTGCATCCCTTCTACCAAGGGTCGGATACTCTTGATCTATGTGAGTGGCCCCCACTGCACGTGCAAAATACAACAATAAGAGGTGCCAGATTTGTTCCCATTTCAGTAACTCGGTAATTACTGGGGCGATTTCGCTGAAACTTGGCATACAGGTAGGCACCCACCAGGCAATGCATTCCCATGTGTTGCGGCTAGGGTGCTACTGCACGTGCGCACGTGCAGGGGGCGTTTCCAGATCTCGAGAACGGCTGGGCCGATTGCGCTCAAATTTGGTACACGGTTGGGGACCGGTTAGTAGGGTGCCGTGCAAAAGTCATTTTGGACCCCGTTTGCACGTGCGCACGTGCAGAATGCCGCTTCCAGATCTCAGGAACGGCTGGGCCGATTGCGTTCAAATTTGGCACACCGCTAGCGACCGGTTAGAAGGGTGCTTTGCACAAGCCCGTTGGAAGTACCCTCTTGCCCTTCTGCACGTGCAGGGCTCACTATCTCGCTCGCTCGTTCTTCGCCCAAAAGGCGTTTTACTGGTATTATAATGTGAGGTCACGAAAATGACCTGACCTCATATTACCTTTAGAAAAATCCGAGATTACAAGTTGTGGGACTCGTAACAGATACTAGATCCTGCAAGTTTCATTTCCCTGTGAAAGCTCCTCTGGCAGTGAGGGCGATGCGAAGTTGCGACATCTGAAGACCGTGCAGAGGTTTACTTATGACGTCATAGGTCAGTGACCTGACCTGACCCGAAAATGCGGTTGGTGGCAAAAGATCCGGCTTGAATCAAGGGTCAGATATGCCAAGTTTCAGCTCTCTATCGCCAGCGTGTTCGGAGCTATCGCGAAAAAAACCCTATGGGGGGGGGGGGAGGGGGCGGCACCCGCCCCCGCCTCGGCCGGCGAGGGTTAACCCTATGGAAAAATACTAAATTCGGAAAATACTGGAGATATTCACTTCGTTCTATCACTTTTGTGCTTTGAAACCACAGTACTTAACAAGCAGGTTACTTGGTGCTTCTTTGTTTGGTGTACTTTTCCATGGGTCAGGTCAAATAAGGTCAACTGAGGTCAAATGACGTTTTTCGAATAACTTGGCACATGATGACGCTAGAGCTTGAAAAATGGTGTCATTGTGTTCCTGGTGATCAGCCGAATCGAATGATTGCGGTATGATGCAATTTGGCTAACATGAACTTAATTAGTTAATTAAATTTTACTTAATAATTAAAACTTTAAGTGCACTTTAGAAAGCAATAAAGTATATCATTCGACACGCCTTGACGTGCTGAGTTCACTGGTGCTTTTCTTTTTGCTCTATCTTAATTAGATCAAAAGTTATAAGCGAAAAACTCTCGACCTGTTTTAGCGATTTTTTGACATTTATACCCCACCCCCAAAACCCCCCTAAATATTGACCTAGAGCAACCAAAGTTGCACAGGGGCGAGAACTCCAGGGGGCCCACCTACCTACCAAATTTGGTGTTTCTAGATGCCATAGGAGCTCAATATCAAAGGAGCCACGGTTTGCTTAGCATTGATTAATCCATCACTGGCTTTCATTCATTCAGTGGTGTCATTTTTGGCTCTCATTCTATTAGTGCCGATGGATTGTCCTGTTCCTGCTGTTGCACATTGTGGCGAATTGGTACTTCACTCTAGTAACTCCTTAACACACTGTTTGCTGTTGTCAGTGTGAAACTGTTCAATTGAGGACATGGAATGAATGTTCAGTCCTTTACCAGGAAATGCTGTTTCATTAAGTTTGAAACTGTTGTGCTCATTAGTGATGCCTTCTAATTTGTCAATTGTTCTGAGCAATACCTGTGCTCTGTGCTCTTGCTCTTGGTCATGCTCATAGCCTGTAATTTTGTCATTCCAGGATCAGGTGGCCGACTGTCATCTCCTTTAAATCCCACGGCGGCCTAACGTGAGCGCCGCAATCACTCTGCCATGACCATCATCAAAACGAAGCGCGCATCGGCGGCGGAGAGGCCGCAGCGGCGCAGGAGCGGCCTGAAGGCGCCGCCGGCGGCGGTCACCGTGCGGGCCGGCCGGCGCGCGCCGGCGGCCGGCCGCGCCGCCGCCGCCGGCACCGCCGCCGCGCAGGCCTCCAATGTGCGCGTGGTGGTGCGCGTGCGGCCCGAGAACGAGCGAGAGAGCCAGGGCGGCTACCGGTGAGTGACTCGTGCGGACGGACGGCGCGGCTGCCACACGCTGCCCGGGGGATGAACGGAGGGGGGGGGGGGGGTCAGTAACTGGCTAAAAATAAAATTAAGTGCTCTCGGTAATTGTTATACTGCAATTGTCCTGACTTATTGATTGGTCTCAATGATTTATCGTATCTTATCTAGTCTTAGCCTTCTCTAGTTCGTCAGTTATCCTTTGCGACATATTCGCTTTACCAGTATAATGCTATGGGCGCAAATGACCACCGTAGTCGACGCGCCCTAAAGCCCTAATAAACAAACAAGATTGGTCTCAGTTAATTTCTTTTCAGTATGCCTCTTGGCGTTCCTCCTGGCCTGCCCTGCTGGCTGATGATTGCTGTTTTGTTTATTCACCGTGGGTACCTGTGCTTATGACGATGCGGAGCTCCCTTTCCCGTGGCTCTCTCTTGTTCAGCGGCTGACCCTCTGTGCCCAGCTGCTCTGAGCTTCCCGTCCATCCGCCGCCAGGCTAGTGGTGCGTCCACTGGACGACCACATGCTCATCTTCGACCCGCGCCAGCAGGACGAGGACTTCTACTTCCAGGGCGTGCGCCAGCGGCAGCGCGACCTCAACAAGCGTGCCAGCAAGGACATGCAGTACATGTTCGACCGCGTGTTCCACCCGCACCACAGCAACCAGCAGCTGTTCGAGGCCACCACCAAAGACGTCATCGACACTGTCATCGACGGCTTCAACTGCTCCGGTGAGCTGAGCTGTCCGCGACACGGGGAACGGAGACTCTGCCGCTGCAGCCACGCTATAGGATCCGCCCTGTGTAATGCGGTGTAATGCTACTTAGTATAACTATTTAGCTATTACAGATACTGCATACCATAGATCAGTCAAACAAACATGTTGGGTCATTTTAATGTTGCTTTTATATATCGATCCCGCCCTTAATTCAGTAACATCAAGCTCAAAAGGTGTGTTATGAATTGCACCCTATCATCAGACTCGGAAAGTACATCAGTACTCGTGTCACTGCTCTGCGCACATGCCTCCCCATTGTTGGTGGGGTGACCGTGCGCTGTGCGCCGCGCAGTGTTCGCCTACGGCTCGACGGGCGCCGGGAAGACGCACACGATGCTGGGCACCAGCTCGGAGCCGGGCATCATCTTCCTGACGGTGATGGAGCTGTACTCGCGGATCGCGGCCATGGCCGACACGCGCTGTCAGGTGGCCGTCTCCTACGTGGAGGTACGTCCACTGCGGGCGCCGCCGGCTGGCCGCTGAGCCGGGGCCCAGCCGGCCCGAGCGCACGGTCATGGCGGATCTTCCGCCGCGCTGCGCTTAACTAAGTCATGCGTTTAGTGAACTCCTCAGCTTGAATGGTAAGATCGTAAATTATCGGTTGTACCACTCATTTGGATCTGTCGCTTCAACGCTTGTATCATTTTTGGGCTGTCGTTTGTCGGTAACCGCTGGGTTAGTCCCTGTGTTCGGCTGACAACCACCTCCGTCCACCCGCTGTGATACCCGGCCGGGTAGCGGTGTGGCCGCTGACCTCCCCTCCCCGCCCTCCCAGGTGTACAACGAGACGGTGACGGACCTGCTGCAGCCGAGCGGGCCGCTGGACGTGCGTGAGGACGGACAGCGCGCCGTCGTCATCGCCGGCCTGTCGCAGCAGACGCCCGACGGGCCCGAGCACCTGATGGCCATCCTGGCGGCCGGCAACCAGAGGCGCACGCAGCACCCCACCGACATGAACGCCGAGAGCTCGCGGTCGCACGCCGTCTTCCAGGTCGGTCAGGACTCGGGGAGCCAAACACGGTGCTGTGGGAGAGTGGGCAGACGACGCTGTCTCGGGCTCTGGCCCCTGGTGACGCTGTCTCTGATGCCTCCCGTCCCCAGGTGACGCTGTCCTCGACCCCTCCCCTCCCGTCCCCGGTGACACTGTTTCTGACCCTCCCGTCCCGTCGGCAGGTGACGCTGTCTGACCCCGTCCCCTCCCCAGGTGTCGCCGTCTCTGACCCCTCCCGTCCCGTTCGGCAGGTGACGCTGCGCCAGTCTGACGGCACGGCCGGCCTCTCGCAGGACGTGCGCGTCTCCAAACTGTCCCTGATCGACCTGGCCGGATCTGAGCGTGGCTCGGCCACCGGACACAAGGGCGCCCGGTTCCGCGAGGGCGCCAACATCAACCGCTCGCTGCTGGCGCTTGGTACGTGCTGACCCCTGGGGTAGGTGCTGACCGCTGACTGCTGAGTCCTGCGATAGGCGCTGACCGCTGACCAGCTCTGACCGGCCGGCGCCTGGTGGGAGCTGCTGACGGGCCGTTCGGCACTGCGGCCGGCCGCCCAGGCCCAGCTGAGTATAACTGACTGCTGGTCGGCCAACTGACTGGTAGATCGTGCAGATTGTGATAGTTCCGAATGAAAATTACCCATGACAGTAAATCTTAAAACAGATACACGGGTGCGGAAATGTGGTTTCGGCGGCGGCACATGCAGTATGTGCGTGATCTGTGAATTGTGATCGTCCCGCCTGTCTCCGGTGATGGCTGAAGCCGGTCGCCCAGACGTCAGTCTGCCCGCCCCGCTCGTGTGCGTGCCGAGGGTCCACTGACCGCCGCCCCCCCCCCCCCCACAGGCAGCTGCATCAACGCGCTGGCCGACGGTAAGAAGTTCGTGCCGTACCGCGACTCCAAGCTGACCCGGCTGTTGAAGGACTCGATCGGCGGCAACTGCAAGACGGTGATGATCGCCAACGTGACGCCGTCGGCGGCCAGCTTCGAGGACACGCACAACACGCTCAAGTACGCCGACCGCGCCAAGGCCATCAAGACCAGGGTGAGTGCACCGGACCGGCCGGAGGCGGAGTACGTACGGAGCTGTGTGGGGGACGGGCTGTGCTGCGACCAGCGGGCGCGAATCGCGAGTGAACTCTTTCCTATACGACGGAAAATGTAGGCTCAAACTAGGTACTTCATACAACTTTTTGCATTTGAATTCATATATAGCTATAACTGTTTGAGGAGCCGTTTCGACAATCGGCATTGAGCACAACTATTCCGGCGTTGTGTCTTTCATTTCAGCCATCAGCAAAACAGATTGAACACTGAAATGAGCGATCTGCAAAACAGTTTGACACTTCGCCAGACTTCGGCATTGAGCGAGCCAGCTCGGCACATGACGAATAGTTTCGACCATTGACGATATGTTTTGCACAGTGCTGAACCTGATTCGCTCAATGTCGAGTTGTGGGGAGCGCCGCTCACAATGAGGAGCGCCGCCGAATAGTTTTGCACAATGGTGATTCTTTGTAACCAACCGCCCATTTGTAGCGCCGTCTATATGACAAATGTGTACAAATGTTTTGTCAAATGGTCAAAAGCTAACGCGAAAAGGTTTCGGGGAGTTTGAGATAATGATATTGGTTTTATACGGAATTTCTCCTCATAATTTCTTATTTCATGGAGCTTTCGATGCGTATGCAATTAATTGTTTTTTACCAACCTCCGCCAGCAGTCGTATCGTTATTTGCTACATGTGTTATCATGTGGTGTTCCTTTCCCGATGGGTGTGCCGCTGACCGCCCCCATCCAGTGTTCCCTTCCCAGTCCCCTGATGGGTGTACCGCTGACCGCCCCATCCAGTGTTCCCTGCCCAGTCCCCTGATGGGTGTGCCGCTGACCGCCCCCCCCCATCCAGTGTTCCCTGCCCAGTCCCCTGCTGGGTGTGCCGCTGACCGCCCCCATCCAGTGTTCCCTGCCCAGTCCCGTTATGGGTGTACCGCTGACCGCCCCCATCCAGTGTTCCCTTCCCAGTCCCCTGCTGGGTGTACCGCTGACCGCCCCCATCCAGTGTTCCCTTCCCAGTCCCCCGATGGGTGTACCGCTGACCGCCCCATCCAGTGTTCCCTTCCCAGTCCCCTGATGGGTGTGCCGCTGGCCGCCCCCATCCAGTGTTCCCTGCCCAGTCCCCTGCTGGGTGTACCGCTGACCGCCCCATCCAGTGTTCCCTTCCCAGTCCCCTGATGGGTGTACCGCTGACCGCCCCATCCAGTGTTCCCTTCCCAGTCCCCTGATGGGTGTGCCGCTGACCGCCCCCATCCAGTGTTCCCTTCCCAGTCCTCTGATGGGTGTGCCGCTGACCGCCCCCATCCAGTGTTCCCTGCCCAGTCCCCTGCTGGGTGTGCCGCTGACCGCCCCATCCAGTGTTCCCTGCCCAGTCCCCTGCTGGGTGTGCCGCTGGCCGCCCCCATCCAGTGTTCCCTGCCCAGTCCCCTGCTGGGTGTACCGCTGACCGCCCCATCCAGTGTTCCCTTCCCAGTCCCCTGATGGGTGTACCGCTGACCGCCCCATCCAGTGTTCCCTTCCCAGTCCCCTGATGGGTGTGCCGCTGACCGCCCCCATCCAGTGTTCCCTTCCCAGTCCTCTGATGGGTGTGCCGCTGACCGCCCCCATCCAGTGTTCCCTGCCCAGTCCCCTGATGGGTGTACCGCTGACCGCCCCATCCAGTGTTCCCTTCCCAGTCCCCTGATGGGTGTGCCGCTGACCGCCCCCATCCAGTGTTCCCTTCCCAGTCCTCTGATGGGTGTGCCGCTGACCGCCCCCATCCAGTGTTCCCTTCCCAGTCCCCTGCTGGGTGTGCCGCTGACCGCCCCATCCAGTGTTCCCTCCCCAGTCCCCTGCTGGGTGTACCGCTGACCGTGCTCTCCCCGCTCCGTCCACAGCTGCAGCGGAACGTGGTGTCGGTGGACATGCACGTGGCCCAGTACGCCAAGGTGGTGGACGAGCTGCGCCAGGAGGTGTCCGAGCTGCGCGCCCAGCTGGCCGAGCGGCCGGCCGCCGCCCCGACGGCGCCGCCGCCCGCCGAGCCGCCGTTCGACGCGGCGCCGCTGCGCACGGCCGAGGCGGCGCGGCGCGCGCTGGTGACGCGCCAGCTGCAGCTGGAGGCGGAGGCGCAGCAGCTGCGGCTGCGGCTGCACCGGCGCCGGCTGTGCGTGCAGCGCGCGGCGCTGCTGCGCCCGGCCGGCGGCGCGCGGCCCGACCGACAGCAGGACCGGCTGGCGGGCCGGCTCAGCCTGGCCCACAGCCGTCTGGAGCAGGCGCGCGGCGAGCTGGCCGCCGCCGTGCAGACGGCAGAGGCCGAGGCGGGCCGCGCGCCGGCCGGCCCCGCTACCGACCAGCTGGTCGACCAGCTGGAGAAGGAGGTGAGCGCCGCCGCCGCCGGCCGGCCGAGACACCTGACTGCCCTCGGGGGGATACCCCGCCGCGGGTCGGAGCAGTCGCTTGGCACCCTCACCGGCCTCAGTACGGGGCTGCAGTGACCCGCCGGTCTTTGGCCGTGCCTGGGGGAGCAGTGGCCACCGATCTCAGTCGGCTATGTGGATGCGGTTTATCCGACCAGATGATCAGCTTTCGTTTTATATCGTTCACAACGATTCATAATCCCTATCCGGTGTCCGTCCACAGCGCCAGCTGGACGCGTGTCGTTCCTCACTCTCAGTGGCTAGTAGCAGTGTCTGACGGCGGCCTGTCCGGTGGTGTCTGTCCGCCGGTGTCTGACGGCCCTGTCCGGTGTCTGACGGCTCTGTCCGGTGTCTGACGGCTCTGTCCGGTGTCTGACGGCTCTGTCCGGTGTCTGACGGCCCTGTCCGGTGTCTGACGGCCCTGTCCGGTGGTGTCTGTCCGCCGGTGTCTGACGGCCCTGTCCGGTGGTGTCTGTCCGCCGGTGTCTGACGGCCCTGTCCGGTGTCTGACGGCTCTGTCCGGTGTCTGACGGCCCTGTCCGGTGGTGTCTGTCCGCCGGTGTCTGACGGCCCTGTCCGGTGTCTGACGGCCCTGTCCGGTGTCTGACGGCCCTGTCCGGTGTCTGACGGCCCTGTCCGGTGTCTGACGGCCCTGTCCGCTGGTGTCTGTCCGCCGGTGTCTGACGGCCCTGCCCGGTGGTGTCTGACGGCTCTGTCCGGTGTCCGCCCGCAGCGCCAGCTGGACGAGTGTCGTTCCTCACTCTCAGTGGCTAGTAGCAGTGTCTGACGGCCCTGTCCGGTGTCCGCCCGCAGCGCCAGCTGGACGAGTGTCGTTCCTCACTCTCAGTGGCTAGTAGCAGTGTCTGACGGCGGCCTGTCCGGTAGTGTCTGTCCGCCGGTGTCTGGCGGCGGCCCTGTCCGGTGGTGTCTGTCCGCCGGTGTCTGACGGCCCTGTCCGGTGTCCGCCCGCAGCGCCAGCTGGACGAGTGTCGTTCCTCACTCTCAGTGGCTAGTAGCAGTGTCTGACGGCGGCCTGTCCGGTGGTGTCTGTCCGGTGTCTGACGGCCCTGTCCGGTGTCCGCCCGCAGCGCCAGCTGGACGCGTGTCGTTCCTCACTCTCAGTGGCTGTAGCAGTGTCTGACGGCCCTGTCCGGTAGTGTCTGTCCGCCGGTGTCTGACGGCTCTGTCCGCTGGTGTCTGTCCGCCGGTGTCTGACGGCCCTGTCCGGTGTCCGCCCGCAGCGCCAGCTGGACGAGTGTCGTTCCTCACTCTCAGTGGCTGTAGCAGTGTCTGACGGCGGCCTGTCCGCTGGTGTCTGTCCGCCGGTGTCTGACGGCTCTGTCCGGTGGTGCCTGTCCGGTGGTGTCTGACGGCCCTGTCCGGTGGTGTCTGTCCGCCGGTGTCTGACGGCCCTGTCCGGTGTCTGACGGCCCTGTCCGGTGTCTGACGGCCCTGTCCGGTGTCTGACGGCCCTGTCCGGTGGTGTCTGACGGCCCTGTCCAGTGTCTGACGGCCCTGTCCGGTGTCCGCCCGCAGCGCCAGCTGGACGAGTGTCGTTCCTCACTCTCAGTGGCTGTAGCAGTGTCTGACGGCCCTGTCCGCTGGTGTCTGTCCGCCGGTGTCTGACGGCTCTGTCCGCTGGTGTCTGTCCGCCGGTGTCTGACGGCCCTGTCCGGTGTCCGCCCGCAGTGCCAGCTGGACGAGTGTCGTTCCTCACTCTCAGTGGCTGTAGCAGTGTCTGACGGCGGCCTGTCCGCTGGTGTCTGTCCGCCGGTGTCTGACGGCGGCCTGTCCGGTGGTGTCTCTCCGGTGGTGTCTGACGGCTCTGTCCGGTGTCTGACGGCCCTGTCCGGTGTCTGACGGCGGCCTGTCCGCTGGTGTTTGTCCGCCGGTGTCTGACGGCCCTGTCCGGTGGTGTCTGTCCGCCGGTGTCTGACGGCTCTGTCCGGTGGTGTCTGACGGCCCTGTCCGTTGTCCGCCCGCAGCGCCAGCTGGACGAGTGTCGTCCCTCACTCTCGGTAGCTAGTATCAGTGTCTGACGGCCCTGTCCGGTGGTGTGTGTCCGGTGGTGTCTGACGGCCCTGTCCGGTGGTGTCTGTCCGCCGGTGTCTGACGGCCCTGTCCGGTGTCTGACGGCTCTGTCCGCCGGTGTCTGGCGGCCTGTCCGGTAGTGTCTGTCCGCCGGTGTCTGACGGCCCTGTCCGGTAGTGTCTGTCCGCCGGTGTCTGACGGCCCTGTCCGGTGTCTGACGGCTCTGTCCGCCGGTGTCTGACGGCCCTGTCCGGTGTCTGACGGCCCTGTCCGGTGTCTGACGGCCCTGTCCGGTGTCTGACGGCCCTGTCCGGTGGTGTCTGACGGCCCTGTCCGGTGTCCGCCCGCAGCGCCAGCTGGACGAGTGTCGTTCCTCACTCTCAGTGGCTGTAGCAGTGTCTGACGGCCCTGTCCGTTGTCCGCCCGCAGCGCCAGCTGGACGAGTGCCGCGTGCACGCCGCCCACCTGGAGACCTTCTCGCGCCTGCTGCAGCTCGAGCTGGCCAGCTCGGACCATCTGCTGGCCCAGCTGATCGGCGCCGTCCGCGAACAGCACCGCGTGCTCACCTACATGAAGTTCGTGACGCCCGAACTGGAGGCCCAGTACAAGGTCAGAACACTGAGCGGCCACAGCTGCTGGCGGGAGCAGGATACCTGTGACCCCACGTGTCAGTAGTCGCACCAGCTGTAGTAGCGGCTAGCCAGACGTCTGTCATTGTGGGGTGATTTCAGGATGACAGTGAATTTCTCATGCGGAATGGTTGTAATTGGGGGCTCCTGGTGTCATCGGGTCGGGTTTGAGCCTGGCGCTCGTTGGCCCAGAGCGCCGGCCTGCGTCCCGCTGTGCTGCTCAGCGCTGCCCGTGGCGTGTCCGAGCGGCCGGCCTGACTGCGGCGCGCGCCGCGGTGGGTGGCCGTCTGGTGCATGCTGGTACTCGGCGCATGACTAGATGCCCACTCATCGAGGCGCGCGCCGCCACTCGACGGACTGACCGATGGATAGACGGTGGACGTATGGTACAGCGGTAAGGTGCAGAGCACGTGCTCAGAGCCCCGCTGGTTTGTCATTACTCACTTCTTTGCTGAGGGCTGGGCTGCAAATAATAGTTGAATAGTAAACTGTTCATGGACGCGTTTATATTTTCCAATCACACACTGCGTTGCCATGTTTTATGTACGCATTTTGTTCGAGGTATCCATCAGTCTGGCCTGCCTTTTCTGTGGTGTCCCGACAGTCTTGCCCTGTTCTCTTTTTCTGCGACACGTCCTACCCGACTGCTCCGACTGCCGGGCGTTGTTCCGTGCTCCCGTGGCCTGGCCGAGGGCCGGGCTGTGTCAGTGTCAGTTCTATGTTCTGACGGTCGGTCGTCTCGCCGTGTTTGCTCAGGAGGTGGTGGGCCTGGTGGAGGGCCAGAAGGAAGTGTGCTGGGCGGACCAGCAGCAGCCGGCCGCCGACAGTCCGGGCCAGCCCAGCTACGACGTGACGGCGCTGCTGCGACTGGCAGACACCACCTACCGGCCGGCCGAGCCGCTGCGGCAGGCCACCGGCGGCCTGCTGCTCAGCGCGCCCGCGCCCGCCCCCGCGCAGCCGGCCACCGGCCGCTGGGTGCCGCGGGCGGCGCCGGTGGACCGGACGCCGGCGCCGCCGCCGCCGCCGCCCTGCCCGGACGGCACGCCGCCCAGTCTGTCGTCGGTGCTGCCGCCCAGCGACACGACGCTGGGCGGCGGCACGGACGACGAGGTGCTGATCGCCGGCGGCGGCGGCGCGCCCGACGAGACGCCGTGCCGGCCGCGGCACCATCGGCCCGGCAGCCCCGTGTTCTTCGACGCGGAGCCCGGCCCGGAGACGCCGCGGCCGGGCGGCCCACCGGGGGCGGACGCAGTGGCCGAGACAGAGACCAGCCCGGGCCCGGTGCAGGCGGACAGGGACCTGGCTGAGGAGGCCGTCACAGTGCCCTCGCCGCGCGAGCCGGGCCCGCACCGGGCCCAGTCTCCTGCCGCAGAGCCGGCCGCACCGCGGACGGACGCTACGGTGTCAATCACACCGCAAGGAGGCACTGCAAGGCCGGCCGCACCGCAGACAGAGACTGCAAGGCCGGCGACACCGCAAACAGAGACTGCAAGGCCGGTCACACCGCGGACAGACACTGCAGAGCCGGCGACACCGCAAACAGAGACTGTAGAGCCGGCCACACCGCGGACAGAGACTGCGAGACCGGCGACACCGCAAACAGAGACTATAGAGCCGGCGACACCGCCGACAGACACTGCAGGGCTGGTCACACCGCGGACAGACACCATAGAACCGGCCACGCGGCAGGTGAGCAGCGGCGAGTCGGAGCGGCCGGACACGCTGCCGGCCGGCCGGCGCCACAGTGCCGCCGGGGACGGTCCCCGGGTGCCGGCCGGGCGCGCTGACAGTCCGCCGGCGTCCCCCGGCAGTCCCGCCGCGGCCGGCGGCACGCCGGCCACCGAGCCGAGACGGCCGGAGGCGGGCGCGCGCCACTCCGTCTCACCCAATCTGAACACCACCATCACCATGTCGCCCTCCGAGAGCAGACTGGCGTCACCGAACGTGGACCTGGGCGCCACCGTCACCGGCCCGGCGCCGCCGGCCTCGCGGAAGGCGCCGTCGCCCGACCTGAACGCCACAGTCACCGTGTCGACGACACAGGGCCGCAAGTCGGCCTCGCCCGACCTGAACACGACGGTGACGGTGGCGGCGCCGGCGGCCGGACGTCGCCGCTCGCCACCCGCGGTCGGCCCCCCGCCGGCGGCCGGACGTCGCCGCTCGCCGCCGGCAGTCGACCTGAACGCCACGCGCACCCTGTCGCCGGTTGCGCCGGGCAGAGGCGGTCTGCCGGCGTTCGACAGCTGCAGCCCCATCCGGCCGGAGCCGGCCGACCGGGCGCTGTACGTGCCGCTGCCGCCCGACCTGCCGCCCACCCCGGAGATCCTGCGCCGCACCCGGACGCCGCTGAAGACGCGGCCGTCCGCCGCGCCGCCGCCCAGCATGGACTCGACGTTCACGATGGAGGCGGCGCCGTTTCGTGTGCCGCTGGCGGCGTCGGCGGACGGCGGTGGTGGTGCGCCTGCTGGTGGCAGCGGCCAGCGAGCTGTGGCTGGCAAAGGTGCCCTGAGAGGCTCCGCCTCCAGCACCCACCTCGGCGTCCAGAGGACCGGTGAGTTGAACTGATCTCGGCGTCCACAGGACAGGCGAGTTGGGCAGTCCGTTCTAACAGACCAGTAAATCCAGTAAGGATTGGTCTGCTGGCTGCTCGGTGTTTGGCCTTAACAACTATTTGAGAGACGCGTTGGATAACTCGTTGGTGTCGGTGCTTCTTCACGTCTTGGTGTGTGACGCCGGTGCCGCTCCCCTCGGCAGGTCTGAGCCGGTCGGCGTCGGCCGCGCACCTCTCGCAGACGGGCCGCGTCGGCAGCGGCTCGCGGTCGACAGCCGGCGCGCCCGGCTCGTCCGCCCGGCGCGGCTTCGAGGCGTCAGCGCGGCTGGCGACCACGGCGCCCAACCCCAGCCGCCTGTCGCTCTCGGCGCAAAAGGCGCGCAGCACGTCCCGCCTGCACACCAGCGCCTCTGGCGGCCGAGACGAGAACCAGCAGCCCGACAGGCCTGGTCAGTGCCGACTCCCAGTGCTGTGTGTGGTAGCGGCTGGGGTCTGGGGTGCCATGTGGGCGGAAAAGATCTCCCAAACGAGAGATCTAAGATGGAATGGAGTGAAAATTGTCTCTACATAGTCGCAGGGCTTTCGACATTCGACAGGGCTCGACATTTTTTTCTTCTCGTTGATTTGTTGATCATCTCCCGCTGTCTCACCCAGACGCCCTGGACTGCCGGGTCCCCTCCGACCTGACCTGACCTGTGTGTGCCGGCAGCGTGGGGTCGGACGGCGCCGCCAGCCGTCGGGGCGGATAAGGCCGCCGGCCGGCACGGCCTCATCTCCTCGGTGGGCAAGTTCGGCCTGGGCAGGAGCAGGTGAGTCGGGAGCGGGAGGAGGCGGGCTGGGCCGCCCGGCCTGGGCCCGGGGTGAGTCGGGAGCAGAGAGAGCTGACCTGGGCAGTAGCAGAGCGGGCGGCCTGGGCAGGAGCAGGTGAGTCGGAAGGGGGAGCAGAGGCTGCAGGCGGGCTGACCTGGGCAGGCCGGGCGGAGCAGGCGGGCGCAGCCGCTCGACGTGGCCCGGCGCGGGGGGCTGCCGGGCGTCCCCAGAGCTGGGTGGTGCAGCTGACTGGCTCCACACATGTGTTGTCTCCGCCCTGCTCCATCGTTAACTCCAATGCAACTGTGTCAGCCTGCAGTCGTGTTATCAACGGGGTGACCACATGGGGCTCTGCCGCCTGACCTAGGTTTGACCTGAAACACGCCGAGTGAATCCTCAGTACCGACAGGGTAGTATCACCATCGGCATCCACTTTTGAGTGTGTGAACAAAAAATGAACTCGATGTGACTAGTTAATTGGCGGCCAGAGCCCAAGGGGTAAATATGTCTAAATGTTAATAATTTTTGCTTTAACCCGCGCCCCGCCGGGGGTCGTGGATTTCCACGCCTTGCTGGGGGGGGGGGGGGTTGAACACCCCTCACCCTTATAGCTCGGCCCATGGGCTACGTAGCGATATGCTGAAGGCGGCGCTCGAAAGAGCGCCAAAAATAATGACGGAATCACTATGGTCCTTTTTTTTAGTCAGGTCACCGAAACCATTGAAGGCAAAATTTCGACGATTTTCAGGTCGAATGTCGACTATTTCCAAGAAGCCGTCGCATAACTCGGGAACCAATAGAGCTACAGCGCCGCGGAAAGGCGCATTCGATAGCCCTATTAACGCTCTTTATGATCACTTTCCTAAGATTTGACCTAGCGTCAACGGTTTTGCCTGCAGGGGGTAAAAACTGCCTAAACAGCCGATGTTTTCAGAAACAGTTTTTTCTGCCGTAACTTTTGACTCAAGCCTTGCACGAGCTTACTTTTACCGGCATGGTGTTCCTCTCGTCAAGGCGCATCGAGTGAGCTGTAATTTGATATTGAAAGGTCAACTTGAAAATTTGACCTTAGGTCAATGTCATACTCATGACCTGACCGGAAAGGGTCAGGTCATGACATCAGCCGATTCGTATCGTCGAGCTGACCACATCTGACGTGTTTTCACCGCTCTAGCTTGTCTATCAAAAGTTACAGCCAAAAAACTGCTGGTGACCGTAATGACCTGAGATGACCTCTGGGGCATACAGAGGGTTCACAGGTGCAATTTTCTGATTCAAGTATGTCATGTTTACGTAGTAACGTATGAACCGATGTTTGAGAACGCTTTGAACGACATTCATCCAAAAGAGGCGCATTTCAATTTTCTCCCAAATTGACTTATAATGGAAAGGCCGCAAAATTGACCTGAGCTTAGGTCACATAAAAAATCCGAGATGTGCATTTTATACACTTGTGTAAATGTATGACGTGACGTGACGTGACGTGACTCTGACAACGCGACTCTGTACTCATATCAATTGTCAAAAGTTTCAAAGTGATCGTTCAGTCGGTGTATCTATAGCGAGCCTTTGAACTTTTTCTGAGGTAAGGTCACTTGACGTGACATGGTGTCCTGACCTTGAACGACCCGGGTCTGAAATTTTAACAACGTGTGCGGAAATGATGTATGAACAGGCGTTTTTGAGAAATTTGCGAAAAACTTGGGGGGCGGCGTAAAAACGCCCCCCCCCCCCCCCCCCCGGTGCGGGTTAATACAGTCCACATTTTTGATGGCCCCGCCTCACGAAGTTGATCGGTAAATATGACCTAGCAACTGGCTGTGATATATAGCGTCTGTAGTTGTGTTGTAATGTGTGGCGACAGACGGGGCCGTGACTGGTCGTATTGTGATGTGTAGCGATGGACGGGGCCGTCTGTACTTGTAGTTGTGTTATGATAATGACGGAACCGTCTTTTTTGTTGTGATGTATGGCGACTGACGTATTGTCTGTAGTTGTATTGTAACACCTGGCGACTGACTGGACCGTGACTCATAGTCACTAGTCGTGTTGAGATACGTGGCGACTGACGGGGCCGTCTGTTACTAGTTGTGTTGTAATGTGTGGCGACTGACGGGCCTTCCCTGTTCGCCAGGACGGGCGCCAAGGACCGGCCGGCCGGCGTCCTCAAACCGGCCAACCAGTGAGACCACCGCAGCCGTCGAACGCCAAATGCGTCCTTCTTAACCCTGACGATTTATTTTTCTATGTTTCATTGCTTTGTATATAATGTGTTTTAATCCGGTTAAAATAAAGGTGTTTTATATAGTATATGGCGCGCCGTGGTGGCATGGCCGCGGGTCGTGGTGTGTCTGGCAGCGGCCGGCCCGCGCCACTCTCCGCTGTTACTCAGTGCTGGACTGTGCCCCGGCCGGGGCCAGTGCCCTGCATCAGAAGCTGCGCGCTAACTGCTTGTTTTAGAAGGTGGCGCCGCCGAGCGCGGCCATCAGCTTTCCCCGGCGATCTCTGGCTGGGCGGTGGCGGCCGACTGCCGCCGTCGCCTCCAGCCAAATCGTACCAGCTCCATCTGGGAGACAAAATATACGGTAACATAGCCCGCCCACCGTCTGTCTGTCTGTCTGTCTGTATGTGTGTCGCTGTGTGTGGCGAGCTGCGGCAGCGGCACCGGTGACTTTGAGCGGTGACCACCATGTGGTACCCCAGGACTGACCGAAGCCATCAAAGGTATGGGCACTATCAAAAGGGCTGAGTGAGATGATAGTCCAAAGCAAATGATGTAAATAGGACTGTGACGGAGTGCCTCTGAAGCTCGCGTTTTGGATCGGTCGTGTTTGGGCCCCGGCGCAGTGCTGTGGTAATGGTGACCGTGACCTGTCGCACCTGGTGCGGACCGGCCACCCAGCTGACTGGGTGTCTGTGGCCGGCGCCGCGGACCGGCCACCCAGCTGTGTCGTCTGGGTGTCTGTGCTGACCGGCCACCCAGCTGTCGTCTGGGTGTCTGTGGCCGCGGACCGGCCACCCAGCTGTCGTCTGGGTGTCTGTGGCAGCGGACCGGCCACCCAGCTGACTGGGTGTCTGTGGCCGGCGCCGCGGACCGGCCACCCAGCTGTGTCGTCTGGGTGTCTGTGCTGACCGGCCACCCAGCTGTCGTCTGGGTGTCCGTGGCCGCGGACCTCGGCAATCACAGACAGAAATCGGTCACCGGAGCTCAGCGGTTCGTCGCTCAGCACCACCAGGGCCTTGTTGCATCGTAGCCCGCTGCGAGCCATTGGAAACGTAGGCGAAATTGCCGGTTTCGCCTGCCTTTCCATGGACACCGAGCGTCGATATCTACATAGAAGCGGCGGGCCGTGTGTGGAGTGGGCAAGTCGCGTGCTATCGCCGCCTGCTTTCTTCGGCGAAATGTTAACAACACCGCACCTTTACCAATACACATTGCCTAGAATATTTACAGCAGTCAAGAATTAAGCATAAACAAGCACATACCGTACGTAGCACAAAACGGCGTCATTATTATCCTCAAGTCTTCACGCCCACGAGGATGCAGCCGAGCTGCTCGGTATAAGGCATATCGGTATCGGCATATCGGTATAAGCTGCTCGGTATCGGTATAGGTTTGTGCTCTGAACATTGGGTATCATCACACCAAACCGCTCCTGCCTATGCGATTTAACCCTCGCCGGACAAGCGCCCCCCCCCCCCCCGCCCGAACAAAAACTATACAGTTCGACGCGCCTCAGTAAGGCAAACACGATGATGCCAAAATCGCGGCGCTGCGACCGTTTTTTTTGCGAAGTTATCAACCGAACCCGTGCCTTGGGTCACTTGACCTGACCTCAGAGGTCACCGGTTGACCTTTGACCTTAATTTCGGGTACCTGTCGCTGTGTCTCGTAACGGCGCACACGTTCGCTTTTTCTGCGATGCTCTAGCTCCATCAGGGGCGAAACGGTGAGGGGGAGGGGTCGTACCCCCCCCCCCCCCATCTCGGCCGGCGCGTATGTAGAAAGCTACTAGGTCCGGCGCGGGTTAGTTGTCTTCGACTGTGTTGGTGACTATAGCGAGTCTTCGGCAGCAAACACGATATTTACAACGCGATTCATTAAAAACGAGATACCTACAGCCCATGTGGGCCCCACTTTGGAAGGCTGGCTGGGCAACGGTTAGCCCCCAGTGTGCAAAAACTCGAAGAATAGCCGTTTTCACGAAACATATTTTCGGTAATGATTTTTGACTCAAGAGCCACATTTATTTCGCCAGCATCGTGTTCCTCTCGTCGAGACGCGTCGAATGAACCATGCGTTGAACTTAAAATCGTTTTGAAAAGTTGACCTCACTGTCCTCAGGTCAAGGTCATGACCTGACGGGAAAGGGTCATGCATATCAGCCGATCCGTATCGTCGAGCTGAACACATCTGACGTATTTTTACCGCTTTAGCACGTCTCTATCCAAAATTATAGCAAACAAACTGCTGGTGACGGCGGCGAGCAGTTTTTGAAAAATTCGCAAAAACGGAGGGGGGCGTAAAAACGCCCCCCCCCCCAGCACGGCGCGGGTTGACACTCATTATCTCAATACAATACAACACAGAAACATACTAGTTAGGTGGGTACGCTAGTGAGCTAGAAGCTAGGGAACTCGCTCAGATCAGATCACAGCACGCTTATTTGGACCGGATGTGACCTGACATAGGCATATGACGTCAAAGCTAAGCAATTTAGCTGAAATAATATCATCTAGAGCAGGGCTGCGGAGTCGAATTCGGAGTCGGAGTCGGAGTCGGTCGGAGTCGACAGTTGTGACCGGAGTCTGAGTCGGAGTCGATTTTAGAAACCCGAGCCGGAGTCGGAGTCGAAGTCACCGAAAATCTGTCGACTCCGCAGCCCTGCTAGGTCTGCGGAGTCGGAGTCGGGAGTTGGAGTCGGTCGGAGTCGACAATTCTGCCCGGAGTCGGAGTCGGAGTCGGAGCTGGTTTTTGAAAGCCGGAGTCGGAGTCGGAGTCGGAGTCGCCGAAAATCCATCGACTCCGCAGCCCTGATCTAGAGCGTCCGATCCATTCAAGCATTTCCTGAAAGATTCACCTAACAACCGTAGGAGTGCATCAACTGTTCTTCTCGTGCCGGCCAAGAAACATTTGTCCTAATTCCCACCTACTATGGACGTCAAACCCCTTGAGACCCCACTTTTTTGCGATAATTTTTAAATGCGTTAACTCTCGTTGACAATATTCTGGCAATGTGTGTTTCAGAACCTGCCGAAACTTTTATTACTAAGATATTTTGACGCCAAACGATTATTAAAGGTACTTCTCATTCACTCGTAATGTTAAATTTCACGGAACGAATCTGCTGTTTGGGTAGAGGCTACGCGCTCACGGGGCGGAGCCACGTAATGACGTCAGCGCTAAGCTCCGCCCTACCCCTCCGGCGCTCCTTGCCCGGCGACCGGTCACTCGCGTCTCTCGCTCCATTCAGGCTTGATGATGGGCGGTAGCTGGTAGCGGTAGCGGGCGCTGGTAGATGGCATTTAGAGCAGATGGCGCTGGTGGCGGGGCTCGAGTGTGGCCGAGCGCAAGCCTCTGCCCGGGCCTGAATTGACCTTAACATTACGAGTGAATGAGAAGTACCTTAACCATAATCGTTTGGCGTCAAAATACCTTAGTAATAAAAGTTTCGGCAGGTTCTGAAACATACATTGCCAGAATATTGTCAACGAAAGTTGACGCATTTAAAAATTATCGCAAAAAAGTGGGGTCTCAAGGGGTTTGACGTTCATAGTAATTCCTAGGCCCAAGCTGGACCGAGAATTACGGCCATCAGCAGTAGGCAGTCAGTAAACGATCGCCGGAATACCTAATACAATGCCCACAGCCACGGCCGTGATTTCTGGAGCACCGGAGCTAGCATTCCAGCAGGATCCTTGTGATGAATCGCAAGTGACTGGAACCTGGAGCATTTGATTATGTCCGCTAATAAGAACATTGCGCTTTTTCAAACGGCCCGCGCTAAATTTGACCAAGACCTAAGGTGATAACTGATTTTACTCAGAATATCATAAATGTTTTGACCTTTGAATGGATGCAAATCGGCTACAAATCGATTTTACACTTTTCTTCGGAAGACACTGAACTGGAATCAATCAGTTTCTAAAAGAAAAGCGTTCGTATCATTACGTTTACCATTAGTTGTAACATACAGTTTCAAATTAGCGTTGCTTTTTTGGTATCTCCAATATTTTGACTTATCCGTTTCAAAGCTTTTTTCGTTAAAAGTAGTTACAAATCGACAATCAAAATATTGTTTAAAGGTAAAGTTACGTTACCCACAGTATTTCAAAGCTTTGTTTTTGTTAAAGATAGAAAGCTGTGAAACGTTGCAGCGGAAGTAGTGACACCTAGCGAAGGATATGAGCGAACCCGAAGTAGGCGACATCTCGTGACCTATTTCGCAACTATTCTTCACAAATCGGCCAATCGCGTCGCGAGGTTGCCGGTGGAGTCGCGCCATTTCCTGTTGTGTCGGTGAGGAGGGTTGGTTTTGTGGATTAAAATTACGTTTTTATCATTTTTAGAAGTACTACCATCTTCATTTCATCGCAAGCTCAACTTTGAAGGGTTGACCTTCACGTCCAGTCACTGGTAAGCTGCTTCCCGGGCCAACATTTTTACAAGCGAAAGTGCCATCTTGTGCCGGAATCGTCAGGTAAAATTATGGCGGCGTCCGATGGGTGACCGTCGTGCATGCCCCCTGGCCCCATCTCGATGTTTGTAATTATACCGTGACCGTGACCTTTAGATTTGTGGCAAGTATTGCATTCGAATCATGGCATTGCTACTGTGTCCAAGCGATTTGAACTTTATGTGCTGAATACGCATGCATCGTTTACTGCGTTGTTTACTGAAGGAGGTTGAGAGGGGGAGGGGGGGCTGTTTGGATTGTGTCTGTACTGTGAAGTGATTTAGATTAAAAAGATGGTCTGTTGTCTGAGTGGCCAATAATTTTCTTGATATTTTTATGCAGTGCATTTGGTAGGTACCGTAAAATGGGGTGTTAAGGGACAGTGGGGTGTTAAGGGACAGTTGCATGGGAAAAACTTTGAGTCATATTAACTTCCTTATTTGAGAAGGTTCAATAAAAACTTCAGTGTGGTAGTTGACACTGTTTTGCTCTTAACCATAGGACAAATTGGTATGGTTTTTCATGCAAGTGATTTGGTTCAAAAATGGATTTGAAAATCATGCTACATTTTCACAAAATTGAAACATCTCCAAAACTCTGTGTGTACCACATAAACTAGTGGGTGTACAGGGAAAATGAATGCATAGGTGTATTGTCACATGTATTACACATGTTTCCTGAAAAACTTGTGCAAATCCACCCATTCATTCATCATCCTCTTCCTCTTTTCTGGATACATGCATATTTTGAGGTGGATAGGGACAGAGAAGAAAAAATAAAAAATAAAATATAAATATAATTTCATTAAGTTTTCTTTCAGTAGGCATGGAAAACACCAAATTCCACATAAAATGCTGGCAAGTTCATGCTTTTATCTCTAACATATCTTAAGTTATGTAACAAAACATCTCACACTCTCTTTTACAATGATGGGTCAATGGAGACTGATGTAGATAAATGTGAAGTCATCATAAAAAGGCTAAAACAAAGAGGGCAACATAATGACAAGTGACTAGCTTCAACATGGGTTTTTATTGATGACAGAAGATTACTTTTTGGTTCTGTTTACCTTATAATTAGCACATTTTCCACAAGCGTAAACTGCATTACACGTAATTGGCTAAAAAGGTCATTAGTGGTGAATGAACCTGACTTGTTTTGTGACAGAATATGCAAAACATTTCAATAAATAAATTGTGTGCCCTTCCACACCCTAATTGTGGGCATTTGATGAACATTTCTTGGAATAATATAGGTGTCCCTTAACACCCCACATTGGGGTGCTAAGGGACAGTGATGAAAAGTAATAAAAAAATATGCAGGTATAAATCTTAAAAACTTTAATGTGGCAGGCATGTAAAGCACCAAATTCCACATAAAATGCTGACAGTTTGATGCTTCTATCTCCAACCCTTCTTGAGTTATATAACAAAACACCTCAAAACTGTCCCTTAACACCCCGTTTTACGGTAGTCGTAAAGCAGGCGTCACACTTGTTTTTTTTTGCAACCAAGGAGAGGTGCTATACCCAGAGATCAGTTGGACAAACTAGACTTCTGGAATCAAAATATGGAGGCATCAATAATTTTGGTGCAAGAAGGAGCCATGACCAAATAGGTAAATGTCAAGTTTAAGTCCTAAGAAGATTTCATTGATAAATTTTTCATATTTTTACATTATTTGACATCCTGAATCCAAAAATGATACTCATATGTCTCGCAAATAAAAGAAAAAAACATAATCAAACCTGACCTAACCTTACCTACTTACCTATAACCTACCAACCTACAACCTACAAACCTACCCTAACCTAACCTAACCTACAAACCTACCTACCTACAACCTAAAGCCTACAAACCTACAACCTAACCTAACCTAAAACCTAAAATTTTTGCTGTTTTATATTCGTATCAACAGCGCCACAATTGTAGTTAGGACCTAAACTTGACATATACCGACCAAATATGGGAATGGAATCAATTTTTTTATTTATTTGGGTACCTACACTTTTGATTTTAAATGTATCGTCATACTAGAAAAATGGCCAATGATGATGAGATTTTCCTTTAAATAGGTAGGAAAATGTGGTAGGTATGCAAAAAGTGTTTCCTCAAAACTAAGAAATTGTCTGACCTTGTGAATGAACAAAAGACAGAACCACTGGCCATCACGTAAAAGCTGCTTTGCGATAATCACACTGTATGTTATTTTTGTATCATGAATTGCATACTTGATAAGTAGTATTTGTGTAAAATGGCAAAATGAAATTTTCAAACCCCTAATTTTCACTGTTGTAGTGCTTTTATACTTAATATATGGTTTTTACCTGTTGCTTCAGTTTTTGTATTCTTGACATTTAAAAATTGTGAATTGTTATCAAATGTAGTGAAGGTGAAGTACAACAATGCTATAGGTATCGGTTGTGGTGCTGAGGATACCACTAAATGAGAATGATAGTAAGATAAATGATGTATTCTTGCAAGCCATTGTTGCCTATCTGTTAACATTACCTGTGAATCAAAATAATGATTAGCCAGCTGAGCATGGAATCAATATTTTGATGAGCTGTTCAAAGTGAATCAATTTATTGATTGCCTTTCACTACCCTTAAGAAGTCGGATTACTTAATTCCAGAAGCCTAGTTTGCCCAACTGAGATGATTTCTAATCAAACTAAATCAAACCTAATCAAACTTGACCTAACCTTACCTAAAACCTACAACCTAAAACCTACAGTAGGTACCTAAATGTCAAGATAAAGTCCCAAGAAGATTTAAAGGATGTTTTTTTCATATGCTTACACTATTTGACATCCTGATTAAAAAAATGATGCTTATATGGCTTGCAAAAAAAAAAAATACAATCAAACCTGAGCTAACCTTACCTACCAACCTACAACCTACAAACCTACAAACCTACAAGTCAACCTACAAACCTAGAACCTGACAACCTACATCCTACAAACCTACCAACCTACAACTTAAAACCTTTAACCCACAACCTAACCTAACCTAACCTACAATCTAAACTTTCTGCTGTTGCATATTTATATCCACAGGGCCACAATTCTAGATTGGACCTTATCTTGACAAATACCAAACATACCACCTAAAACCTAAAAGCTACAACCTAACCTACAGGCTACAGCACCTCTCCTTGGTTGCCAAAAGAGTGTGATGCCTATAATTGCCTGCTTTACTACTATTGTGCATTTTAGGCATAAATTTGTCAACCATTCTGACAACACAGGTGTCCATTAGGTATTTTAGGACATTCATTGTTTTTTTTTTGCAAATATTCATCAGAAGTTTTTTTATAATAAACTATGAGTAAATGCACTTAACCTATTGCCTGCATTCTTTCCTTTGACTTTGTTGAAATGTGGGTTATCTACCTATGGATATTTAAATTTGAGTTTTGATGAATGTTTGGGGATACTGATGTAAGATAATAGGTATTTAGGTATTTACTTTAGGACCTATCACCAATTTACTTTCCATGCGATCCCCAAGTAAGAAGCTAATCACATGACTTATCATTGCCTGTTATCTCCCAAGGCATTGCCTGGCTTCAGCACTGCACTGCTTTGACACAAATATTTTGATGTTACTTTCCATATTTTATTGGCAGGGGCGTAGCCAGGATTTCCTCAAGGAGGGAACCAAATTTACAGGGACCCAAGGTAACCCCCTCGAAATCTAAAATGTCATCAGATTTCATCCACTTTGTTGAAGGGGCCCAAATAGATGGGGGAAAATTATTAAAAAAGTAAAAATATTACATCTGAGGGGGCAAGCAAGACCCACAAATAGCTTCATAAAATAGATAAAAAAATTATTGAAAAGAAAAAATGTTAGGTCTGAGGGGGCAAGCAAGGCCCACAAATAGCTTCATAGAGTCGCTCAGCCGGTTCTGAGGGCGGTCTGAGGGCCCCGTAGGTCGGATAAGGGTCCTTCAGACCGTTAAAGGCCCCTACAGCCCATGAGAGCCTCGTAAGCCGTCTGAGGGTCATGTAAGCCGTCTAAGGGCCACTCAGACCGACATAAGGCCCCCTTGCACTTGCAGAGTGCCTGTCAGACCGATGGAGGGCCCTCTCAGACAAACTAACGGCCGTTCAGGTCATTTGAGGTCCTCTTCAAACCGATAGGGGCCCCTCAGATTGGCAGTGGATCCAATCTGAGATCCCTCAAACCGACATAGGGTCAGACCAACAGTCGGAAACCAACAGATCAACAGAGAGGGCCTTTCAGGTGAACAGAGGGCTCTCTCAGGTCGATGTAGGGACCCATAGACCGGCACTGTCGCAGGGGCCCATTGTGTAAGCCAGGGGCCCCTATGGAATAGGGCCTCTGGCCTGGCGCGATGGGATCCTTTTGGTCTCCAAGGAGGGGGGGGGGGGCATGCATCTGGAGCTGGCCCACACTCCACTCCAGGTATTAAAGTGAGGCCTCGCTTCTCATCAATATTCATTATTCATGGCATTTGGTTAATTATTTCTGGCAAGTGCTCTGCTGTAAGGCCTGTTCTTTTTGCACTTTATAGCTCAGTGATCTGACATGGGATGGTTAGTTTCGGTACCCAACAAACTTGTGTTAGCAAACAATCACTGTGGTGGGACTACCTATATCCTCCTGTGATACACTGGGAGCATTGGGTCTGACCAGCCGTGCGTTCGTACTGGCCGTTTTTCGCGTGAAATTTCCACGCTGAGGAATACCTCACGAAAATGGTCGTTTGGGCAGGTCTGTTTCGCGGGATCCCGCGGGATTCCCCCCGTTTCGAGATGCGCGTACGGCTGTTTTCGTGAGGAATTCCTCAGCCTGATTTCACGCGAAAAACGGCCCATCCGAGCGCAGGCCAAAATGAGGAAGGCCTGATAAGGTCATGTCAGGCAAAATTTGTTGGGAAATTATGAAGCCTTATTGGAATCTCATGAACAATTCTATGTTATCCCCAGTTCAAAGAAGTCCACTCACCAGGGCCCCCTGATAGATTGTGATGTTTGCTGACCATGGTTCCGTGACCAACGAAGTGGGGGTGGTGGATGGTGCCATTTCTGATACAGCTGTGTGTGCTGAGAGGAGGTTCCAGGGAGCGGCAGTGGTGGGCGGCACCGGGTTTTGATACGGCTGTGTGTGCTGACAGGAGGTTCCATCACCGGCTGAGCGGGAGTGGCGGACGCGGCCATGTCTCGTGCGGGGCCGTCGAGCGAGTCGGCGGCCATCGTGTACCCGCCCGGGTGCCGCGAGATCACCGAGGACCTCGGCCCAGACGAGCTCATCAGGCGTTTGAAGGTGAGTCGGGTGCACTGAGGGGCTGCTGAGGGGTTCTGAGGTGTTCTGAGGGGCTGCAGACTGAGGGCAGGGGTGCTGGATTCAATAGGAGTGGGTGCACCCGTCACCTGCTGGGAGAGGGGGGGGGGGGAGGAGGGGGATGCAACTGGTGCGAAGGTCATGCGTTTCATTGCCAAATTATGGCCTGTGGGTGGAAAATACTTAACCCTCGCCGGCCGAGGGGGGCGGGTGCCGCCCCCCCCCCATAGGGTTTTTTTTCGCGATAGCTCCGAACACGCTGGCGATAGAGAGCTGAAACTTGGCATACCTGACTTTTGATCCAAGCCGCATCTTTCGACACCAACTGCATTTTTAGGTCAGGTCAGGTCACTGACCTATGACGTCATAAGTGAACCTCTGCACGGTCTTCAGATGTCGCAACTTCGCAACGCCCTCACTGCCAGAGGAGATGTCACAGGGAAATGAAACTTGCAGGATCTAGTATCCATTATGAGTCTCACAACTTGTATATCTCGGATTTTTCCTAAAGTTCATATGAGGTCAGGTCATTTTCGTGACCTCACCATTATAAGTCCATGGGGAAAAATGAAAACGGCTATTTTGGCGCTGGGAACGATCTCCAACTATCTCAAGCACACAGAATCGTGATTTGATGCACTCCTTGCAAGGTTAGATGCGTCACTTTTGCAATGTTGACCTTGCGTGACGTTATTTATGACGTCATCAAGGTCATATTAGTTTTTCGTCAATAACTCCCGATCAAACTGAGCTAGCGAGTCGAGAAAGCCACCAATGGACTCAGGAAGACCTGCCGAATCGAATGATATGCGACATGACTTCTTTCGACCAACTTCGTGACCTGGGGGTGCTGACCTGACCTTGACCTGAGGTCAACACCCTAAGTTGACCTGACCCGAACAAAAAGTATATCATTCGACGCGCCTGTGCGAGGCGAACACGATGCTGCCAAAATCGCGGCTCTGCGGCCGTTTTTTGCGAAGTTATTCACCAAAAACTGAACCGTACTTTGGGGCACTTGACCTGACCTCAGAGGTCACCGGTTGACCTAGGACCTTAAAATCGGGTACCAATCTCTGCGTCTCGTAACGGCGCACACGCTCGTTTTTTCCGCGACGCGCTAGCTCCACCAGGGGCGAAACGGCGAGGGGGGGGGGGGTCGAACCCGCCCCCCCCCTCGGCCGGCGCGTATGTAGAAAACCAATTGGTACGGCGAGGGTTAACCCTCGCCCGTATGGGGGGGGGGGGGTCGAACAGACCCCGCCCTCGTTTTTTTTTTTCGCGAATAACTCGCGTAAAAAGCGGTCAATCGCGACGATACTTAAGTACCCTCGAGTTGATCAATTTTATACCTACCCTGAAAATTTCATGACTCAGACCCGAATGACCTTTGACCTGTAACCTACTTTTCGAGACCGTGTTTGGCCGGAATCGCGATTCGGCGTATGTCGGCTCGCATTAGCCGCGCCTTTGCATTCTTTTCGTGGTTTCAAGCGTTCAAACATGTGAAATGATGTTGGTCCCATGCATTAGTGTGGGTGCCGGACCCGTCTGTGTGTGACCAGCGTTCATAGTGTTGAGTGTGCTCTGCTCTGGGGGCTGGGGTGTAGATATCCCCCGTCGGCTGTGCCCCCCCCCCCTCGGTACACTCGATACACACCTCGGACGTTCGTTACCCACTCCTCGGTGACCGCGGCGGCGTATCGCGGCGCACCAGACGATAGCGTCCGATGCCCCGCGGCCCGCACACGTGCCGGGAAAGGCCGCAACGCACTACTGGGAGAGTTACCGTAATGTGTCTGGCATTGAGTGACCAGCTGTGAAGCTGCGCACCAGTCTGGGTGTCGCCGGTCCGTGGTCGGTGACCTCTCCGGGTGCTATCGGGACGGCGGGTCCGTGGCGTCGGGAAATGCTGGCTCGGCGCTCTCAGCCGCTCGTGTGCCACGGCAGCACGTTCGGTGCGGGCGTTCAGTTGCCCAGTTGGACCACGCTGAATTAATGGTGCCGAGCTGGCTCCCTCCTACCCCGTCTTACTGAGCTGATGGTGCAGCCTGCATGTCGACACTTGCAGTGATTATGGTTAGCCGAAACTCGCCGAAACATACTGGTTTTTACCGTGATTTCGAGAGATCCTACTCCTCTAGGCCAGCCGAATAATTGCTTAAAGGGACCCTCCCACCTTCAAAAAGTTAATGGATTAGCATGAAAGTGATGTCGCTCGGTTCAGAAAGAGAGCGAAAACGAATATCTACCAAATTTCACCGAAAAATATTCACTGGTTTTCAAGATATTAGGCTTTTACTTTTGTTTACTTTTTGGGATCTCCCCTGTTACTAGCGACTTTATTTGGAAGCAATAATTTGGTAGCCTTAAAGTGCGGCAGACGTTGCGCGCAAAGCAGCGTATACCACCACGTGTTAACGATGGTTTTAGTCTAAGATTTAAAAATCGTTAGATCTCCGCTGACGTCACAAATTCTAAGGGGCATTCCAATGCATTAGCCCCTTAGAATCCGAAAACTGCAAGTTTGAAATTCCATATCTTCGAATTAAAGCATTTTTCGATGTTGTGAGTGCCCAAACCGGTATTTGCAGGCCATGGCCACCAATTTGGCTATCTCAACTCAAAACTAATGTTAAGGTGGGAGTGTCCCTTTAATGGTGCCGAGCTGGCTCCCTCCTAGCCCGTCTTACCGAGCTGATGGTGCTGCATGTCGACACTTGCAGTGATTATGGTTAGCCGAAACTAGCCGAAACATACTAGTTTTTACCATGATTTCGAGAGATCCTACTCTTCTAGGCCAGCCGAATAATTGCTTAAAGGGACCCTCCCACCTTCAAAACGTTAATGAATTGGCATGAAAGTGATGTCGCTCGGTTCAGAAAGAGCGAAAACGAATATCTACTAAATTTCATCGAAAATATTCACCGGTTTTCAAGATATTAGACTTTTACTTTTGTTTACTTTTTGGGATCTCCACTGTTCCTAGCGACTTTATTAGAAAGTGCGGCATTTATTGCGCGCAACGCAGCATATACCACCGCGTGCTACCAAACGTTTTAGTAAAAGATTTAAAAATCGTTAGACCTCCGCTGACGTCGCAAATTCTAAGGGGGCATTCCAATGCATTAGCCCCTTAGAATCCGAAAACTGCAAGTTTGAAATTCCATATCTCCGAATTAAAGCATTTTTCGATGTTGTGAGTGCCCAAACCGGTATTTTCAGGGCATGGCCACCAATTTGGCTATCTCAACTCAAAACTAATGTTTAGGTGGGATGGTCACTTTAAGAACCCGGAAACTCACATTCACAACCGAAAAAGTAACGGGACAATTGGTATAATGATATAATTGTCTGACATATTATAATTGTCGTGACATTTTCAGTTTAGATGTGAAATTAGTTAACTTGCACTTGACTGAGCCTCCAGCCGAATGCCACTGACTGTGCGGGCGCTTAACCCGCGCCCTGGTGGGGTTTGTTTATAAAGCGACCTGAGGGCCTCGTTTCATAAAGCGTGTTGCGGATTACAGACGTGCCGTTTAAATGACTGCGCGTGCGGTCAAACAATTGATGAATTTTGTGCAATGGATTGGGGAGAGTGATAAGAATTGAGGTCAGAAGAAATAGAAACCTTGGAATGGAACTTTGTTTACCTTATTAAAAATAGTGAAACGATTTAGAAAAAACACAAACACGGATCTCAGCAACCAAATAGTGATTAACGTAAAGGACTTGTAACAGAGTGGTGACCGTGACAGGACAAGATTGAAAAGTACCTGGAATTAGCGTCTAGATATGGGCTGCAGGGGGAAGAAGCTCTCCGATTTGCAGCTGATAGATTCGACAAGGACACTGAAAGAGAAGACAGAAGGCTGGAACGGGAGAGGAAAGCCGAAAAAGAAAAAGAAGACCGTGAAAGGGAAATAAAATAACACGAAAGAGAAATCCAAGAACGAGAAAAGGAAAGGAAACACGAACTAGAAAAACTAAAATACCAATCAGAAATGCAAGGCTCAACAACAGATGCTGTCAGTGCAGTGAAGACACCGAAGCTGCCCCCGTTTGTGGAGGGACGGGATGATATTGACAGCTATCTCTTGAGGTTCGAAAGATTTGCGAGAGCGGCCGGGTGGCCTGAGGAGCACTGGTCAGTGTCCTTGAGTGCACTGCTGACAGGCAAGGCCTTGGACATCTACTTCCGACTCGACGCTGATCAGTCTTCAGACTATCAACAGATTAAAGAAGCTTTACTGCGAGGCTACGGCCTGACCGCAGAAGGCTATAGGAAAAAGCTTCGAGAGTCACGACCGGAACCCGGTGAGACACCAGCTCAATTTGTGGCTAGACTCCAATCTTACTTGAACAGGTGGATAGAGCTCGGAGAGGTAGATGATACACGGAAAGGACTGAAGGATCTTATCATTCATGAACAATTCATGAATACCTGCGCTACAGAGCTTCGCCTGTTCCTGAAGGAGAGAGATCTGCAAAATTTGGAAGAAGTTTCTGAAACCGCCACACAATATTTGGAGGCAAGAAATCAAACATTACATGACATCTGCAGGAAGCTCCAGACTAACGACGCGAAAATGCGTCTGACACGGGACACTGGACGGTCCAGTGTTATCAGGTCCGCCTCAGCGTTGCACGTTCGTTCTAACAACCGACAACAAAGGTGCGCATTTTGCGATGAGCAACATGAGAGCAGTGCGTGCCATGAAGCGGTCAAGCTGTCTACCGAAGAGCGACGTAGGCGTCTATTGGCTTCGGGTAGCTGTTTCCTATGCTTAGGACCGCAGCACATCGCAAGTACCTGTGAGAGCCAGAAGTGCTGTGCCATTTGTAAGCGTAAACACCACCTGCTGTTGTGTCTTGAAAACAGATCAGATGGATCAGAGAAAACCACTCCAATCCTGGCAGCACGATCTCAGGTACAAAATGGCTCCGCCGTGGTGTTACAAACAGCGCGTGCTGTAGCC